GCTTCTCTTTTATTTTTTGTTTTATTTATATAGGAGGGTATAATTGTCATTTTATGTTAAAAATGGGTGAAAAGGACGTTTTGCGCAAGAAAATGCAAAGGTAGGGACGTTCTGCACCAAAAAATCAAACGTATGGATGTTTTCCACACAACCCTTCAAAGGTAGGGACGTTTTGCGCCAATAACCCTTTATAAAATTCTTCAATTACCATAGTGGTCAAACATTCCATTACCACATGCAAAGTACCGGTTCGAATCTTACCTATTGCAAATATGATTTAAAATTTTGCTTTGAGCAATTTGGAAGTTACAAAACTAAAACAAAAGAGGGGAAGTTCTTGAAATCGAACCTTGTTCCTCTTGCATGTGAAAATAGCACCGTACCATATAAGCTACACAACATATTGTTGAAAGTTATAACATTTACAAATATTTAACACTATTCATCAAAGCTTTATAAGCCATTTTTTCCGACGGAGCCAGCACGGGTAGCTGCGCCGGCTCGTCGGGTGCTGGGCCCGTCCCTATTCCCATGCTTTGCAATATTCAGGTTTCGGTGCTGATTGACCCTAATGTGGATTGTAACAGGTTCCCACTATTAACATTAAAATCTGTAAACGGTCAAATTGTGCAAGAATCTTCTGATTTATTCCATTACATACGCATATAGAATATATATCACGAAGTGTTGAATGATTGACATGAATGTGGATTCCATGGCAATCTGTGATGAAAGGTGGTAACGCGGAGGATGATCAAATAGAGAATGGCATCAAGAATCGAGTGCAAGTCGTGGAAAAGAGTCAAATAAGATTATAAGAAAAGAACGTTAAGTGTAACATAAGTATGTATAGGTTTCGGCCTATATACATGGCTATGTAGAAAACTTGGAAAAAAAAACGTTTTACGTGAATTTTGTTATTATCTTCTTCCCTTATAATATTTGCTCCATTGAAATCTCAGTTGAGATTTGGGAAAAAAACTAAGCGGTATAATTGTTCAAATTAAGTAGTCAGAGATATTCATAGGTACGTACAAAAGTAACATGTCACAAGATGGTTTTGAGTGTATTTTATATGAATTGAGCTACATCATTTGTTGACCCCGAAAAATGGCTCAGACATGTGGCCAACAGGATAAGTCTTCATGTCCGCTTCTTCCTGCATACAATAACACACAATTAGTCACTCGTGACCTTTTTTCGATGGGGTTGGAAGCGGCCGCAAACACTTCGACGGTCAAGTCAGTGTTTCAGCTAATCGGGAAGTTATGTCCGACGACGAGGTGGTCACCAGGATGTTTAAGTATATATCAAAAGTTATGATGTAAAACTAGCAAAATTCAAATACTTTACTCTTACCAGTATGGGGATATTTATGCTAGGAAAGAGAAGATATGGACTGTTGGATGAAGGGACATGTGACTTCAGATCCCGTATGAGTCATCATCTCATAGGCGTCAATCTGTAGGTTGGCGGATATTAAATGATTTCTGGCATGTCAGCTAAATTGATCGTTTGTGACCTACCACATGTCCCATCAATCAGCCAGGGACTTGACTTTAGAGATCTCCTAAAAGATTTTGGCGAGGGTGTGGCGAGGAGGATTGTGAAGTGCAAAGTGCAGAGTGCGGGCCTTTGCATTCTTCGTGAAGGCAGATGAGTTCGGTTCTTCTATGAGGAAGGGCAACAGTGCTTCAGTTCGGAGCTATGAAATCAGTTTGTCCTACATGCATTCAGTTCGTCTGCCACGTGACAACACCAGATCTGTTCGGAGTTTAGGAATCAGTTCGTCCTACATGTATTCAGTTCATCTGCTACGTGGTAACACCAGATTAGTTCGGCCAATACGTACTAGATGAGGTGGATGGACGAGGAGGAGGGCCTCACAAGGCCCATAACACGATTTTTTATTATTTTTTTCTTCTGGGATGTATGATCTTTGAAATTTCAACATTTGACCTCGTATCCTTAATCAACTGAGATAATGTTAATCAATGTTTGAATAATTCAATATAGCACCAGTCGTGAGTACCAGTCACATAACTACACTACACTTGATAGATCCAATTAAACATGTTGATAAATACTTTTAAACGTGTTAATGAAAATCACGTTCAGAAAACACGATTTAAAGAAGGTTTTCTTAACATTTTTGCTTATATGACACAACAAATTGTCTTAACATCAAATGTTAGTGAACCACTCAACGTTCATGTTTGCATTGGGCACTTATAACCATCTGCTAACCAACTACAAACCCCGCAACCACTTATTAAATACAACATACAAAATTAGGCACTTAATATTTACTTTTCTGGTAACAACAGACAGTTTTACTAATATCCCTGACAAAATTTTCCCTAAATTCTGGTTAGAGGTAAGAATCATTCATGTCGCAGCCCGCATTTGGCAAAGTCAGGTGCCTTGGCTATTCGAAACCTATTAATTGTTCTCACCACTTTTCCACTATAAATCGGGTCCATAACCTACCCATTTCAACAAATATACTAAGCTGTTTCTACATTTTCTCTTTATTAATCACTATTCACTCATTAATGACGAAATCAATGATGCAGTGGTTTGTGGCAGCGATGATCTTGGTCGTGGTGGCTAGCCACCGTGCCAATGGGGTGATTCAGTGCAACGACGCGTTGTCACAGTTGATTCCATGTGAAAAATTCTTGCTGAGTGGTGACACAACACCGAGCGTTGAATGCTGTACAGGGGTACAGGCTCTGGACGCGATAGCCATGGCGTCGCAGCCAGATCGTAAGGCCATTTGCCAGTGTTTTAAAGAGATTGCAAAGTCTTTTTCTTTCAACTTGGTGAAAGCCCAGCAACTCCCCCACCTCTGTCAAGTCAACCTCAAAGTAACAATCGATCCCAATGTCGACTGTGACAGGTATAATTCTTTCTGAACCTATGAATTTTTCGACCTAATTCCTTCAGGCGATTCATAGATTTTGCATTTGTATCTAATACATGCACAAAAATGAATTTATATTTCTACCATTCTTCAATCATATGCTGATTTTTTCTTGTTTTGGCAATTATTATACATGCAGAATTTGAAGGACGATGGAGATGTGAAAATAATGCTGTCATAGTAGCGAGTAACGTTGTTTGAGGGGAAATGTGGTTTATTTAATTGTCGTATTTATCTACCTTCTTGTTAGAATGAAAGAGTACGAATTAAGAATAATTCTAGTTCCGAGATTCTTTCTTCCTTTCTTAATTTATCGTCGAGCAAATTGCAGTTTCATCGTTTTACATAGAGAAATACTATTAATCCCCACTGGGGATGCATCCCCAATCTATGTGGCGTTAATGTGACCTTAAATGATAGGTGAAATTAAATGTGAAATTAAATAAGTCATTTAATTTCACCTATCATTTACATCCACATAGACTGTGGATATATTTTCACTGGGGATGAATAGCATTTTTCTTTTACATAACATGTTAAAGACTAGAAAAATGAAGTAGCTTTCACACCTTGCATTTGTGCATCGGACATTCAGTAGTAACCGTAATTTATATCTATATTTTCATCGCGGTACATCATCTTTGAAGAA